CAAGCCAAGAGCCCGGGGCTGGAAGTGTGCGCGTTTGCCTTTGCTTGGGTGAGGCAGGGCTCCCTGCCGCTCCCTCTGTGCAGCCCGGGAGCTCTGCTGGTGGGGCAGGTCCTGCCTCTTCTTCCCCTTCCCTGCCAGCAAGCTGTGATGCTTGCGCCTGGATTTTTCACGTAAGGGTTCACCTGCTTCCAGGTCCCCCCTGCAGCCCCCCTGAGTTGGGAAGTGGCTCAGTATGAAGCAGAGACCTTTGCACATCCATCACTCCTGCAGTTCTGGGGTCTTGCTGCAAGCCTGTCTGCAGCACTGAGAGCAAACTGCTTTGGTGGTGTCTGTTCATCCTTCCGCTGGAATCGCCCTTAAAGCCTTTGCCTGGCTGGTGTTCTGCTTTAGGTTCTATGTCACATGGCTGCTTGTTTGTTAAATGGCTTTTTGACCCTGTTCCTGCCCAGTCCTCTCTTCCTGGACACTTCAGGGATCTGGTGGCAGGACCAGCCGTCCCTGGCAGCAGTGGAGGCGTCTTGGGACGTGGCAGAGATGGCAGCTCTGCGGAAGGCTGCAGATGACGGCTCGGACCTGAGCCACCTGGAGGGGGACAGCCCGGAGGAGCTGGCTGTGCTGGACCCAGTGAGTGTCTGGCTGAGTGTGGAATCAATTTTCCCTGTTTCTCTATGTGGGAAACTTTCTACACCTCTCTTCAAGTGCTTCAAAAAATTAAGGATAAGAATAATCTTGAGCCCCTGATGTTAAAATCCCTGAGCTGAGAAGCTGGAAATTGAATTGTCATTCTCCTGCTGCTTAGAGGTGTCTGCGTGGCTGAGCGAGAGTCTATGGCTCCTGTTCATCACCAGCGTAAATCTCCAGTTTCCTCTGGTAGCTTTGGTGCTGCTGGGGCCTCTCTAGTACAGCACACGCTGCTTCGCAGGCAAGCACCGAAAAGGAAGTATTTCCCTGGGTTTTTTTTTTTTTTCTCCCCAGTGGAGCTGGGAGCTGAACTCCCCTTTTGTGGGACGGGCTGTTGTCCCCAGCAGCCAGCTCGCCCTTGTCCCCAGCCTGGGAGGGCACTGCTGGTGGAGATGTGCTGTGCAGCACTGCCACGTCCCAACCCCGGGTGGGGAGTGGTGCGGGGGGTGTCCCTGCTCCGTGTGCTGCTCCCGCAAGTCTTGGTTTGGATTTCAGGAGCTGGAGGCCATCAAAGCCAAAGTGCGGGAGATGGAGAAAGAGGATGAGAGGCTGAAGGAGTTGCAGTTGGAAGCTGAGAGCCGCCTTATCATGAGCTCAGAGGCAGGTATGGGCTGTCCCTGGGTGCTGCTGTCCCCCCCAGGGACACCTCTGGGACACAGGGTGACGATCGGAGCCAGGGCATGTGGCTCTGCCTCTCCCGGCACCCTGGGACTGGACACATAAGGTGGGTGAGGATGGAGTTCCAGGGATGGCATGGTGCTAATACAGGTTGTAGCCACTTTTACCTCCTACCTGTGCAGGTCAAGGTGCAGTAAATTAATTTAATTAAATTTAATTTAGTGAAGTAATTGAGTTTGGCACCAACAGCCCCAGTAGAGCAGGCACTCTGTGGGGTTTTCTTGTGAAGAGAGAGGGAGCAAGGGGATGGAGGAGGAGGAGGCAGCAGTGGGGGGATTTGGGTACACCCGGACGTGACTGGGGACCTGAGGAGCTTTGCAGTGTGTCAGCTCGGTGGTGGCCGTGCTGGGAGCAGACCTGCACGGACAGACATCCCTCTGGTAGAGGGCTCCTGCAACTCTGTCCAGCATGACCCCTTGTCTCTGCAGGTCTCTTCCCAAAGACGACTGAGGAGAAGATGGAGGTTGACCAGCGATCTATCTATGTGGGCAACGTAAGTGGGAGACCCTGGAGCAGAGCCCACCTTGCTGCTCCTGGCCCAGCTGGACGTATGCCTGAGATCCCCAGACAGGCGCCCATCCTCCCCCCACCAAAGGCTGGCTGGTCCCATCTCAAATGCTTGTCCTCTGCCCAGCCCGGGAATGTGGCTCAGTATCTGCCTGTGATCCTCAGCCACTTGCAGATAACCTACTGCACGTGTCAACTCCCCAAAATACCCTGCTGGAAGCTGTGGGTTGTGTGGTGTTGCTTGTTCCCTCAAAGCTGGGGGGGGGCTGTCTCTTGGATTTGGGTTTCCAGGCTGGGGGTTCAGCTGGAAGGGTCTCCTGAACCTCGGGACATGGTGAGGCCACGGTGACAGGATGCAAGTGGGGTCGGCTGGGTCCTTTGGCCCCTGCGAGGGTGTGCAAATGCTGGAGGGGGCTGGCCAGTGGCGCTGGAGGGGCCAGGACTGTCATTGCAGGTGGATTACGGGGGCACGGCAGAAGAGCTGGAGTCTCACTTCAACAGCTGCGGGCAGATCAACCGAGTGACCATCCTCTGCGACAAGTTCTCGGGGCATCCCAAAGGGTCAGCGCTGTGCGCGGGGACTGGGGTTGGGGTGCCGACGGTGCTGCCCTGGGCTCCCCAGGCTTTGGGAGCAGCGGGGGGGTGTCCCTGGGGCTCTGCTCACCCTGTCCCCTTGCAGGTATGCCTACATCGAGTTTGAAGAGAAGAGCTCCGTGAAGGCTGCGGTGGAGCTGGACGAGAGTGTGTTCAGAGGCCGTGTCATTAAGGTATGAGCTGGATGAAGCCCCGGGATGGTGCATCCGTCCCTCCCAGCCCCACGTGCACGTGGCTGTGCCAAACCCCAGTGCCGGCAGCGCTGGCTGAGTCCCCCCTTGTCTTCCAGGTGCTGCCCAAGAGGACCAACATGCCAGGCATCAGCACCACCGACCGTGGGGGCTACCGGGGCCGCTTCCAAGCCCGGGGAGGGCTGGGCCAGCGGGGAGGCTACTACGGAGGGCAGCACCCAAGGGTGCGAGGGAGGACGTACAGGTGAGTGGCCAGGTGGGGGGTTTCCTTGTGTATTTGGGTCAAGATGCCTGTGGAGCAGGGGGTCCCCGGGACAGGGATAGCTGCCCCTTGCTCCGGCCGTGCTCAGCTTCTCGGCTGAGCATCGCCTACTCGGGGCAGGATGGAGGAGGGCTCTGGCAGGAGTATCTTCCTGAAGACCTGTGCTAGAAATGTCTCCTGCCCGTCGTGTGCTGTTAGCGTCACCCCGGTGTCTGTGGGGTCGGCAGGAGCCTGATGCCTGCTCCGGGTGGGCCACTGGCACCTTGGGGGGGGCTGTGGGCAGCTGAGACGGGGAAGGACTGAAGCGAGCAGCCAGCGATGGCACAGCAGACCCATCCCCGCTGCTGTCCCGGCATCCCTCGCATCCCCAGCGTGGGCCTGGAGCTATTCTCCAGCACAGCTCCTGCTGCTCGTGCATCCCTGAGCTCACTGCAGATCAGCTTCAATGCTGCCCTGGCCCCTTCGGCACTGCGGGAGGAAGCGGAGAGGAGCTTTGGAGATGGAAGGAACACCTGGAAATTTGCTGCTGTCCCCTCCATCCCTGCAGGGATTTGGGGATTATCACACTGCCAGGCTGACTGGTCCCAGAGCCGTGACTGGCTTTGGGGGTCCCCTGTCCTTGGGGTACGCTGGGTTAGCTTGGGGCAGAAGGGTCAGTCCCAGCTCTTGGAGAGGGGCGGGTAGCTGTGTGTTTTGGCATCTCAGCTGAGCAATGCCCCTGTGCTTTAGGATGCTGTTTTTGTTCTTGTTTAGGGGTCGGGCAAGGCTGCTGCCTTGGTATTTTCCATACTAGAAAGGACGGGACTGCCCTGGTGATGCCAACGGGACTGAAATGAGGAGATGGGATTGGAGAGATTTAAAAATATGCCTACCCAAGCCAAAAAAGATTAATTTTAAAATGCCATCTGCCTGGCCGTGAGGATTACTGGTGAGGCAGCCATGTGCTGGGCTGCAGGAGGGAAGACTGGATCTGCTCCACCCGCACGTCGGCCGGATCCCTGCCAGCGTGCCAGGAGGGGCTCACCTTAGCTTTGCTTGGGGGGGTTGCGCTTCCATCAAGAACAGTCTCATTCCAGAGAACACCCTGTCCTGGGAAGGGAAGAACTTTCCCAGACCATCAGTCTCATCCTCATCCCATAGGAAAGGGCTGTGCTGGAGGGTTTGGTGTGGCTTCCGGGTGTCCCAAATGCCCTCCAGCCCACCACGAGGGCCTCTGAAGCACCCTCAGCTTTGCCAGATGTTTCTACAAGAGCTGGATGCTGCTTTCTCTTCCCTATACAAAGATGCTAAAGACCTTTCCAAAGACTTTTTCTTTTCTAAACCAGTGGAGAAAGTCCTGGTTGCAGCTCTAGACCTGACTGCTGGGGAGCTTTTCCTTAACTCCATCAGCCCTGTGGATTTCTGACCTTGCTCTTGGGAAGAGGATGGAGCCTAACGATGTGTTTTGGGTTTAGTTTTTAGCTTGCTGCTGCTTGTTGTACATCTAACAGCTAGGGGACGGGAAAAAACATCCCTTGCTGTTTCTCTGGAAGCCTCTGTATCGCTGTGGTGGTTAAACAAGACCTGGGTGTCACAAAACCCTTTCCCCCTTTTTATTTCAGAAGTCAACCACCCCCTCTTCCCCCCTCCTGCTTTTATCCCAAAGCTACAGGGATCCAAGGGTGCTGCCAATGCATCATTTTACTTTATCTCTTTACTGCCATCACTGTTCCTGCTCCAGATCCCCATCTGGGGATGGTGTGAGCCCAGCTGAACTGGAGGGTCAGGAGCTGGGTACTGGGGAACAAGCACTGCCAGGCACTTTCCCTTCCTGCTGATTTTGAGCTCTGAAACCGCTCGTTTTTAAAGGAAAAAAAACTTTGCAGGCTGCAAACACCAGCAGACTGTTACTGTGTGAAGTTCTGCATTGAAATCGGTTTTATTATGTAATTCTCTCACTAATCTTTTGGGATCCTTGGTTAGGATTCCTCTAACCCAGATGCCACAGATGTGACTGACTCCTAAAGCAGCTTTTCACAGCTCAGGGGGCATTGCCAGGCTAAAAATCCCACTGATTTTTTTTTTTCCCTTAAGGTCTCAGAATTTTTTTTTAAAGCTTGAGGCCTTAACTCTTCATGTTGTGTTGATTTTGCACTTTGCCCAGCATGGACTGTGCTGCTGAGGCTGGCCTTGATCTGCATGACCCTTAGGCTTAAACTATAAAACTGGCTTTTCCTAGGGCTTTAAACTTTCTGTTAGTAGCTTTGTAAATTCTTGAGACTTAATTTTTAACAAAAACTACTTTGGGGTGTTTGGAGTCTCCTGTGGAAGAGGAAATGCTGATCTCCTGTCTCTGAGTGAAAAGAATGAAGACTTTTATATGAAAATGTTTTGCAATAGTGTACAGCTGTGCCTAGTTTAGATGGTGGGAGAGGCTTGACCACTTTCACCTCCCATTATTTGACAGGTTGTTACTAATTAAATGTATTTAAGTTCTATTTGAGAAGGTATTGTAAATGTCACTTATTTTTAAAATAAATGATCCTGCTGTGTGAACTTCATCTGTGGTGAGACCATGCTGGCTGTGAGCTGACACTGTGCTGACTTGGCTTTCTCCAGGCTTCTTGTATCCTTTGGAGCTTTGCATTTATTTTTTAATTATTTTTTAACTGATTGGGTGCTTGAAGTACAGAGTACTGCCTGTGGGGCAGGAAAGACCTGGAGTAGAGGTGTGTGAAAAGCACTGAGTAGCTGCTCAGTGCCTATGCCTGCATTCTCTGCTAAACTTGCTGGAGCTGCACAGCCCTGTGTACTGTGAGTACTACACAAGTAATTAGAAGCTGGGGTGCTTTTCTAGTCTGGTTTGTATTTTTGTATATATATATAAATACCTGCTATTGATCTGGTAGTCTTTAATTAGAACAGCAGGGAGCTGCAGGGGGAGATGCTAACAGAGATTAGTTTGGGATAAGCCAGGCAGCTGAGCAATCCTGGTGTCTTAATCTCTTGGTGTGGATTTATCCTGGCTGCACTACTTGGGCTAGAGATGCTGGTTCAAGGTGATGTTTTGAGACCAACCGTTTGTCTGCAGGAGCTTTGTCAAGTACGTAAACAATTCCTGGGGTTGTACAGAAACCTGGAGCCTTTGGCTGACTTTGTGGAGTTCTCTCTTTCAGAGAACCAATGGAGTAAGTATGGACAGATCTGAGTGCTCCCAGCTAAGGAACAGGATGAGGACACCGAGGATGTTTGAATTAAGCATGGCTTGTGATGTTCCTGTCAACGAACAGTCCTGAGCCCCAGCTGACTGAAATCTAGGTTGACCCAAACACTAATAATTTCTTAGCTGTCTCTTGTGCAGCTGTGCTTGCTCTAATCACAAGCAGGAACTGCTGTTCTTACACAAAGCCCAATTTCAACAGGAACATCTGAGTTGCACAGAGGCACAGCTGCATGTGGTTCTGTAGGGAACAAACCTCTTCTCTGACACAACTGACTTTCCTGAAGAAAGAGCTGCCTCTCACATGTTACCTGAAGGCATAGAGCTGAACAGTGACTTCTGTGCTCAACTCAGGTTTGCTAGAGTAGAAATGTATGCAAACTTTGCAGATGTCAAGTTTATTTTACATAGAATAAATTTAAAATATTCCACAGAACAAAGAAAATTATATATACATCACTCTCTAGGCACACTCCTGTACATGGGGAATGTTCTCAGCACTCAGATGGGAAGGGGCAGAGCCTCAGCACACCTGCATCATCATGGAGTTCACCATATTATCAAAAGCCCTAGAGAAGGAAATGAACACAGAATATTAAAGGAAGCAGCTAGTTCTGTACAGCAGGTCTCTTGTAACAAAACCAACGGCTAACAATGTCTTGCACTGGTTAACAAGCTGGCTTTCCCAAAGCTGAACAGATGGTTTTACTCCTCAACTACAGCATGCTCTGAGTAAATGACTTTTAACTAAGCTGAAGTAAGGACAGGCTGTATCGTGGCTGTGGACCTGTCTCAGCAAAGTGTGAAAGAAGTTGTCCTTGCCTAGGCAATAGAAATGCCCAACTTAGTAATGTTCCTAACTGAGAAATGGGGAATGCTTGCCCTCACATGTGAGGAATGACACATGCTGAATGCCCATCTGTCTGAGGATAAGCCCTGGATGAACACAGCTGTTGACTCTTTAACCTGCTCTACTTACCTATGTTTATTTTCATTTTTACCTATGAAACAGGTCATTTTTTTCCTCCCCAAGAATTCTTGAGCCAATGTTTCTACCACCGGTTCTGAGGTAGGAGAGGTCAGTGTAACTTCTCATGAGACTTACCAGCATTTTCTGTTACACAGTAACGGCCCAAAGACAACCCAGCTCTTCCCCATGTAGGCAGTTAGAGCATGCACATCTGAACCAGTCAACCACAGAAGTTATGCTCTTGGCCCCATTACATCATAGGTACGCTGCAAGTTCCAGAAAGATGACAAAGATCAATATGGTCAACCCACTTACCTGGAGTGGATACGGTCCCCAGGGTTATAAAAAGGGTTACACATTATGTCTGTATATGAATTATGCAGCTTTCGGAACATCTGAAAAGGGATTGTAGTTTAATTAATTTTTTTGGCTTCTCAGCACTTTATGAATAAGCGGAAGTAGCAAAAACACTGATGTGGCAAGTTGCGCTCTGATTTCCTGCACTTACACTGCGGATCTCATTGTCTCGAAGTGCTGTGTTTGAAGAATCCACCACCATAACAAACTTCACCTTCGAATTTGTCACGTAGCCGTATCTGTGCAGCTGTTAAGGTTTGCGCTTCTGACACGCCAGAGCCTGGCAAAGCAACTAAACCAAGGCTGGAATACACTCAAAGAAACAAGCTGGGAGAAAACATCACGTTCTTGCTGCGCCCAGCACATAACTAGGACTAGATGAGGTAAGCAAGACACTAGATCGCAGGAACTGTATCCCCTTTCTACCTGACTTCTCCCATCTTTGATAACTCCAGGTCAAGCCTGCTCCTATGCTGGCTGCTAGCTATTTTGGTGAGGGTTTCTCTCTCTTAAGAATCATTTTAATGACATAGCCACCTTATTTATTCTTGTTTGGAAGACCACGATCAGAGACCCGGAGATGATCTGATATCAGACAGTGACTGACCTGAGACTTCACAAATTAACGACCAACATATTAAAACCCAGAAATCAGGTCTGCTGCTAACTTCCATCCGTGGGATTCAGAGAAAAAGCCAAAGAAAGTTCAGAAAATTTGTGACTTAAGAACATTGGGGAAACCATGGCTGTGGAGTCCGGATTTTAGGGAAATCAGACCACACATCTGGGATTTAGGTACCTGACCAGAGACACCTTCATACTCCTGCTACTTTCACTGGTGTTATTAGAGTCTAAGCTTTGTCACAGACAACTGTTTTAGCTAAGTAGGGAATAAAGCATCCCATTTACAAAAGGTGAAGTCTAGCTGCACCAGACACTCTTCACACGTTGCACTCCCTCACAGAGGCTAAAGGTAATTTTTTCCACCACTTGGTTGGGCAACAAAGCAGCTGCTGAACTGACCAAGGCACCAAACCCAAACCTCTACGTCACAAACTGGTCAGTGAACAAGTCTGTATATTTTCTGCTGATGTCTTTAACATGGCACCAAGTAGGAAGAGAGGTTTCTCACTCTATAGAAAGAGTCTATAAATACATAATGGCATGGCAAAAGGCATTAGAGAGATACACCTTGTAGTCTTCAGTGGGGTAGAGGAGCCCTAGGTACAGTTCCCTCTGATCTACAAGAGCCTTGCCCATCGCAGAG